CAGAGTTTTTGTTCAACGACAAATGACACTTGTGAGGGAGGCTACCCGTAAAGTGTAAGAAGAATGAAATGGAAAATGGATTCAGCTCTTAAAGAAATTAACACTGTAGACATTTTATGTAAGAGTCACTCACTATTTATCATAGGAATGGACAGAATCAAACTTAAAACACCACGTCTAGCTAGTATTTCCGCTACTGCGAAATGAAAATACTGCCTCGCCTTGTGCAAGTTCATATACAATAGATATCAAATGCAAAATTAGCGTTCACTGGTCGGTGGAACACGTCAAGGTGTGCCTCTCTCGGGGTAATATTATCGTTATGGTCTCTGAAAAGGATTTTTTTTAATTCAAAAATCTCTACCTGGGCATCCTGAAAAAAAGATTCGAAAGTTCTGTCACTCAAACTTGCCATCCGTATTCACATATCTAGTCGAGCAGTCTTCTCTACGGCGCAGAGACCTGGACTTGAACGCAAAAAAAAGCAAAGAATGGAGAACAGGACGTATATCAACCTTCATTGCAGCAGTGTAGAATATTCTAATGTTGTGAAGGGACTCAGGTATTGAAGCCGGTAAAGTAATCAGTCAATGAGAGTCTGCGCTGTGTGGAAAGCTATTGTTATTGATTTATTTGAGTTTCAAAACTATTTGTGCCTCACTCAAAGGCATGTCTCGTGAGAATCTCAGTTAAGCAACCCACGATTTCTTTATAATCTACTTTCGATATTTATATCAAGAAATGTATTTGTGATAAGAAACATCTATCTTAATTTATTAATCTACTTCTATTTACCATCCTCATATGTTCTTTCAGATGCAATGCTGCTTTCTGGACCATAATATATGGAATTCCAAATTGACGCAGTTATATTGTATGTCGTCCACTTCTTCAAGTTGGTCAGTACGGTTCTTCTGATGTTTGGAACTTGTTTTGTGTTTGTGTTACCTAGGGCATCGGTGAAGGTAATTCTAAAACCAGCCATAGGTCCGTTGACTTTGGCCGCACGCAGCTAGAAATATTGTGATTAATTTGGAGAGAAGTTTTGTTTTCGGAAGAACAAAAATAAACTCATTGACAAGACAGATAAACCATGCATTATTAAGCAAACGAACAAACAATTGTAAAGGAAAGAGAGAAAAACCAAAAAAAAAAAAAAAAAAAAAAAAAAAAAAAAAAAAAAAAAAAAAAAAAAAACACAACAACAACAACAACAAGAAAACAACAAAAGAATACAATATAGAAGACTGATACCTATGCTCATACCTGCCATGTTACGACAATGCTTTTTGATGATGTTGTCGTTGCAGATACGCTTGGTTTTGCTTCTGGTTCTAAAAGAATATGGTGAACACTTACTTTAAACATAAACTTTTTTTCTGAATTAATGCATGAAGAGCCACTCACATGAAAGAACCTGAAGGAGACTGCATGTTATTGCAATACTATAGTGAAATTTTCTGTGATATGAAAAAGAATAAAATAAGCCTTACTTGCTATCAATGTAGCTACAGTTTTAGCGTCGCTCCACAAACCCTCACCAACCACACTGGTTGCTTTCATTTGAAGTGTGTAGTTAGTGTATGGTTTAAGTCCAGTAAATATATGCTGCTTCTGGTTAGATCGCACCTGTGTTTCTTTGCCATCCAACTTGATTGTGTACCCAATAATGATGCCCACGTTRTCTAATTGTACAGCAGGCTTCCATTTKATCGTTAACGATCTCTTCCTCGAAGTAACAGAAAAGAACTGTTTTTCTGGAACATCTAGAAATAACGTTATAGCTTATTATATTAACTTTATAGAGCATTGTTGTGTATTTTAAAATGAACACATCAGGCCAAAATACATTTTAGCCCACTCAAATTAACCAGTAGCAATCGAGAAAATACGCTGTTCAGCCAATCAGAGGTAATGCATTTGTCAAAAAAAAGTAGGAAGAAGCTATAGAGGACTTTGACAGCCAAAGATCATCACTTACAGAAGATGATTTAAGAAAACTTGAAGAAGATAACATACTCAGTAGCACTAAGAAACAAAACTCGTGGGGAATCACGAAGAAATTATTTGACTTGTGTACCAAAAGATTCGAAAAAGATTAAGATACAGTGAGTCCTACAGAATTAGGCGGCATCCTTCGCCGTTTTTACGCCGAAGCCAAGTGAAAACAGAAAAAAAGATCTTTCGCCAAGTGGCTTAACTGGCATAAAGGGCTGCTCTCAATAGAACTATTAAAAGCCAACTGATATCCAGAAATATAAACATTTTGAAAGATCGCGAGTTTTTGTAGGCTCAGTCTCCAGCCGTCGGGATTTCGTGCGCCCGCGATACTCTCTCCCCTGACGGCTAGGCGCATGGGGTTCGCTATTGTCAGTCTCGACCAATCAGCGAGTGGCCCCCGATATTTTCAGGGGCATATCATTAATAAATTAGCAGGCAGCCGTGGTCGCAGTGTAACAAAATGGAGGACAATTCGTCGTTTGAGATTCTCTTTGAAAATGTTTGTTTGAACGCTCTGAAGTCGTTTAGCTTGGACGAATTTAGAGAAATAAAGCAAAAGGCTCTTAAAGAGATTGTTCTTGGAAAAGATGTCCTTGTTATTCTTCCTACTGGCTCGGGCAAATCTCTTATCTTTCAAACAGCGCCACTAGTCTTCGACGAGATGTCTGGTTCCAGTGGGGAAATAGTCATCGTTATTTCTCCCTTAGTCTCTCTTATGAAAGACCAGGTGAACTTTCTTGTCTCTAAAGGAATAAAAGCTGCCTTTCTAGGCACTTCGCGAAGTTTTCATTTCACATAATTTCCCGCCTTGTAGCAAAACCTTTACGGCTGTTGTCAGATATTTCACTTCCGTTCACTGAAAAATTCACTTCCGTTACGTCTGATATGCTAATTACACAAAAACGTCACGGACATGCGCGACACGTTTCGAACCCCTTGCGCCCAGCCGTCAGGGGAGAGAGTATCGCGGGCGCACGAAATCCCGACGGCTGGAGACTGAGCCTAGAGTTTTTGCAAACGAACAAAATGTTTGATGCTGTTTGTAAATCGTACTACAAACTGGAAACCCTAAGTCAAAGTTATGCCAAGCTGTGAGTTCAATGATTGCACTATCAACATTCAGTTTACAAAATGATTTCCACAACATTTTTTATTTCATAATTTCGATTTAATTTGAACAACTTTGACATTTTTTTTTCATAACTTTTAGAAGCATTTGTTCTTGTACACAACAAAGCCGTCAGGTACAGTACTGGTTAATACCATTTTTAAGTTGTTTGTTTGTTTGCTTTCCTTACTTATTTTTTAATGTTGTATTAAGATTTTATAATATCACTAAAATATTGATTTTTTTCGCTACAAAAATGTTTTATTAATTTTGTCATGATTAGTAAACAAAGAACGTCATTAATTTTTTATGCCTTTCTCTGATATTTTTAGATGAGAATGATAATAGTTGTTACAGTTTATAATAACAAAAAGTCTCTCGGTCAAATGGCCAAAGCCATAGCAACAACGACTATAAGAGGTTGTGTTCCAACATAAGAGGTTGTGTTGCTCTACGCCCCCAGGCGTGCATTGCTGTTTTTTGCAAGAACCATAAAGAAAAATCAAGCGATTTCTTCACTGTTACTAACATATATCAGTTTTTTTTCTTACTTAGAAGGAGGAGTCGACGGGTTCAACACGAAATTCCCAGTGGGAGAAATATATATCTGTTCTTATATCCCAGCCAGATGTAAGTCACAACTGTTTGCCAGCGAGAAATTCAGGAAAAAAGAACTCTCCAGGCAAGGACTTGTTTCAAAGAATTTGGCCAGGAAAATAAAAATTTCCCAAGTAAAAAAATATAAGCCGTTTTTGACCATAAAAAAAATTCGCACAAGAACCCCCCCCCTTTAATAATATGAAATCTGTCATTTTTTAAGGAGGTGAGAATAATTGTTCTTTGAAAGATCGCGACAAATAAACAAACAAGCGAATAACTAACTTAACGTGAAACTGAAATACCGACTTAATTTCCGAATAAACGTACCTTTTAAAAAATTTCCAGGTTAATCATTTCTAATGGTGATGATAATCAAAGTCTATTTGACTAATAACTGACTGTATTTCCGTTGTTAAGTTTGACCTACCCTTTTATAATGCTATGCATGCAGTTAAGTTAACCTTTTGAGATCCTGATTCTATACTCATCATCGAAGAATTTCAATCAAGTAATTTTCATTGCGTGACGAACAAATCGAACGCCGTTGTTTCCCATGCATACAAACTTAGCCAAAGCTGCTGCGTTCGTCTTTGGCTGAAACGCTTATTTTCTGTGTTTATATTAAGCTATGCAATAACGGAAATGAAGGACCGAAAGAGTTTCCTATGCTCTATTGTAACGAAGCCCGTTAGGTTCAGCTATACACATACATATGTATTGCAACCAACTTGGTCACGAGTGCGCTAAACAAACGTAAAGCCATAGATGTTAATAGAGGGATTAGAATAATTATTGTAACCTTCGCTTCTTTTGAGAAAATGCATCATATCTATATCTCGATATGGAAAACATTAGTATATTATACATCCCATTAAAGCTAAAAACAAGCACTTTTAATCGATTAGATTAATAATGCAACAGGAATAATCATGATATATTTATATAATGATATACACCTACTTGCAGAAACGTTGTCATAGAAAATAGAACATTTGAATTTAGTAGAAAGCAATAAATTAAGACAAGACAAAAGAAAGCGTTCAGCCTCAGTGATCTTCTTTTGTGTGTTTTTTTAATTTATTCCTTTTTACTAAATGCAAATGTCCTATTTTCTGTGACAACGTTTTCGCAAGTAGGTGTATAGTTGCGRCCATAATTTCAGAATTTTTTCCTTTATTAGGTTTAAGACGATGTATAGCTTGTATTTGATGCATGCGCTTTTATCAATTGAAAGCATKCCACGAGGTTGACGATAGACTTTTTTAAAAGATGTGATATTCTTCTTACTTACTTATTCCTTTAGTTGGCGATGTACAAAGAAGTATCGTAGTCAACATAACACATACTAGAAAACGCAAGATTTCCCTTTTCATTAAGGTGGGCATTTGACCAAAGACTCTCCAAATATAACTGCTGATCTCTCACTAACTCCTATTTAGACGACTCTGAAAGTTTTTATGAAAGTGTCAGTCCTAAGGATTTATGCCAAAGGCAACTGAATCGATCCGATGAAGAAATCCAATCGTTAAAGCCTAGCTGACTCAAACTATGTTTCACTTTGAACATAACGAAACACCTAACTAATACATTATAAGTCGTAGTGTCAAATCATTTCGATTCAACTCTCGCCTTGCAGAGACATTTCATTCTTACGGACCCCCAGCTATTTCGGGACATCCCGTTATAAGTACCCTTTTAAAGTGGACAGCTACATATATCCAATACAATTACATTTTGAACGACGAAGATGAAGTCTTTTTTTGAATGGAAGTAAATTGGTCACAAATTGTTTATTTTTGCAATTCGTACTATATCTAATTAATRAGGAAGCGCYTGCATATCATTAAAGTAACTCTATAATTGCTAGTTTCGCTAAATAAATAGTATACTAACCTCTAACGTTTCGACCAAAAACGGCAAACGATTGAAAACAATGTTGGGTTTATAAAACCCTTAATAAATATTTATATTGTCACGAAATAAAATATTATCACCCAAACAGCGTGACAAAATATTTTTCACAAGAATTTCGATAAATTGTTAGAAACATTGTTATAGTTCATATTATAGTGTTTTTTAACGATAAAATATCCTTTATCTTTTTACTTTGGAAAACGTTTTGTTTCCACGCAAGGAAAAGAAAGGAAAAAAGAAAAAAAAGGAGAGTACGCCATTTTGAAATTAGGTAAAAGAGCCTTTGCATCAAAGCAAGAAAGTAGATGGCGGATATTCTTCTCAAAATTGCTTGTTTTAAATTGTTTAACTTCAAAAACTCCTCAAATTTTAAAGTTTACCATAAAATACCGATCTAAAGAAAAAAAATTGAGATTTGGAGTCAAATTTTTCAAAGACGACAAAGACACTATAGGAAATGCCGTAATCACAATTATGTCGTCACACCTGTTATCATGGATACAAAACGAACCACAACCTCACAGGAGAACAGCAACGCCTAAATATGATATTTAACTGGTTATCTAGATACAGCCTTTTGCAAAAATTATGAGAATTGTCTAAATATCTAAATATCATAATATCCATATCCATATATTGTCCGGAACACGCGGGTTTGCTAGAATAATTCATTGTTGACATCGAGAAAATGTTCAGAGCTAGGGATAAGTCTGTCGCCAAAAAAAACTAAACTACAAAGACAAGGGACTAAGAGCATCGCGCGGGATCACCCATCATTCACTCGATATTATGATATTTAGATATTTAAACAATTCTCATAATTTTTGCAAAAGGCTGTATAGATATATAATTTATAAAAACTACTTGATATCTATGACGTCATTGTGATGTCATATAGAACAGGGATCAATTAAAAAACAAAAATATTATTTTCAAGTTATTTCAATAATAAACAGATGATATTGCAGCATTCTCTATGGCATTTTAGACAATTTATTAAAATGAATTATAAATCGTTAAAACGGTGTATTATGACGTCATTATGACGTCACATTCAGTTCCCACGKGTCAAGACTGGGTTTGATGGTTCGTTTTACGTGTGCGATCATTGTGTGAAAATTTCGAAGACATTTAGGGGGACCGAATGAGCTCCCCCAGCCGCAAATTGCAAAATAAATYACAGTCTGAATAGGGTTAATATAATCTGTCAATTGATTTATAATGATAATTGAACTGAGTGGAGTGCAATTTGGTCTGAAATCAAATGTGCGATTACAAAATCGCACGACCGCGAAGCGGGAGTGCGATTTGTAATTGCAAGTTTGATTTCAGACCAAAATTGCACGACACGAAGTTCAATTACCACTTAATTATATCCATTTTGAAATCCTAATAAAAAAAGACAGTCGTCGCTTTTTAAAACCGGAACCGGAAAGTCTTTTACATCTCATTTGCAATTCATAAACTGACAGGTCTTGTCACTTCACTTCGAGGAAAACTACGAACTTGACAAATTTCAAACGAGCAGATTTTGTTCAAGTTTTATTTCATTTTGAGTCCTTATAAGATTAAATTATGGAGGCCGTCTGTTTCGCCTGTCGCAAAGAAGATTAAAGAGTTGTTGCAGGGTCTTTGAGATGGATATTTTAACGTGTTTATCGACAAATTTGCGTAAAGCTGCCATCGGCGAACTAGAAGACGATCGATGCCATGTGATTTTAAAATTTCCTCGCCTTCACAATCCTTACGTTGTTGCCTTTCTCCTTCAAAGAGCGGTCAAAGGAAYTTTGTATCTGTCTTACTGTTTCTGGTTGGTAGTTGTCGACTTTTTGAAGTCTTACTCTAGCATAGAACTGGCATAAAATGTTGTTCAAAAGTTTTACTTGCTTGATAATCAAGATGGCGGCTCGTGAACGAGGACATTCATCCACATTTTCCAATGCGCAATTAGCACCTTCTTGCATTCCTGTGCCGTTTGCTTCCCTAGTTCTTACTCGGGGCATTACTTAAAGTAGCAAATGATGAAAAATTACACCGAGATAGTACATTGTCATCTAAAACTGTAAGTAAGAACTAAAATAATCCAATTTGCACATATATTTTATAAAAATAATTGCTGTAAAACCTAAAAATGTACTTTTTGTGTGTCCTTTTTGCTGTAGTTTGAYTGGTTAACCACACACAATCCTGTAATGTGATTGGCTGCCTTTTACTTGTTTTGCATTGTGATTGGCTCCTCAAAGGAGTGCGATTAAGAATTAAAAATGGTGCGATTTAGGCTGAAATCAACCTGCTAAGAACCAATCAGATTGCAGGATTCACTTGTGATTTCAAAATGGATGTAATTAAAAATGGAAACTCCTCGGAAAAAATAGTCTACAGTACTGACAAGCAATCAGATTAAATGTGGCAGCAGATCGATGTTTGAACCCGGGCTTTTTGAACTTCACATCACAGCAAACTTTACAAAAATATCTTACGTATTTTAGCTTGATTCTCGAACTTCCAATAAATGCTGTTCTCTAAAATATCGGGAAATGTTATAAATATAATAGTCGTTGYTTATCGTCGGAAAAACTGAAACCAACTGCTATGAGGCATACAATGACAAASTCGCCTTAACTATCCTTATTATTAATGCTGACGGAATCTTTTTTTTAGTTTTAATTGGGGAATATTGCGACCTTTCTGAAAACGGCATTCCTGTACATATGATTAAGAAAATGAATTTTTGGCCGCGACTCATTGGTAATGGTCGTAAAAGCAATATAGCGGCTCTGTCCAACTGTACAACCATTGTAGTCCCCAGGATCATCYCGGTCGACTCCTTTTCAACATGGCGGTCTTCGAGTAGATAACCATGGTGGTTGCGCTATCCAAAATGGAGCTCGGAACTCTACGGTTTCACAAATTGGGATAGCTGTGTGGTGGGTCCAAATTTGCTTTGGCTGTTTTTTTTTTTTTGGATAATTATAATTTATTTTAAATCTGTTTGATAATAAGCACATGCTTTCTGTTTCTCAATCTATGATCTCATCATCGAGCTTCGAGGTGCTTATAATCTGCATGTCTTTTTTTGCAAGTCATATTGAAGTTAGTACAAACTGCATTTGTGGTTCTAACATGTTTTTTTCAATTTCCAATAGACTAACAAGCATACAACAATGGCGGACTCTGTGACTACAAAGGAATCCCGTCTAACACAGGTATCCTAATACTGTGAATACCGTTACACTCTCGATGCAAAATCAACAGGAAATGTATAGAGCTTAATTTCTGTTAAAACCACTTCAGTTCCAATATTATAAGTATGATAACATACTTCTTATGATCGATAACGGAGAAAGTATCGTAGAGAATCATGCTTGCTATTCTTCGTTTGCAGCATGACGAGCTTTGGTCGATAAAGATTTTCTCGGCATGAAGCCCTATAATCCCATTTAGATATCTACTGTGAAGGACATGCGATGACATTCAGTTGTCGTTAAAACAAAAATAGATCCTACACGATTCTAATGATTAACTGAAATGATAGATAGTTTAGTATTCAAACACACATCACTGTCAGTGAAAGCTATATGCCACGTTAGAGTCGAGCGCAGCGGAGAGATTCGATGAATATAAGCGACGAGATGACAGGGAACTCAAGCTCTACGTCTACATCGCAGAGAACACCATTGAGATAAGYAATTTTTTTAGTTCGCTTTGAGTTGATCTGTAATAGCGAAATAAAAAAAATATTATTGATAATATCGCTGAGCGTGTTTTGCAGTAAATACGTCTTGGATATCGTCTCAAAGCGCTGGAAATGACATTTCCGAGAGTTAACTAATTCCCGCCCCCCTTAGTACCTTCTCGCCGCCCCAAACAAATTCCCGCTCCGCGGTCCCTGAGTAGCAGTACATCTTAAGGTCCTTAAGTCATTGACTGAATTATGAGGGAATGACTTGGATATCATTACTATATATATTGAAGTGTTTTTTTAATAAGCAAATACCCAGTAATCAAGATTTATCTGATGCTTTCAATCTCTGATGGATAGACTACTGACTCACGTTGTACTTTTAACGCCCAACCGTTGTAATCCGCATACCGAAGGTATCATAATACATAGCGTTAATTGGCTGAGGGTTAACTTGAAGTTACCCTCAGCCAATTAGTGGCCCAAAAGTATTCAAAACAATGAACACTTTCTTTGTGAAATATTTGCAATAATCGTCACATTATTGAAGCACTGAATCGTGTGTATTTTGAAGTTTTTGAGTCCACCATTTGAATCCAGGCCCTTTGTCGAAGGGAAACCCCTT